GTTACTCGCAACAGGATAAGGAATTCATGCGTGTCATGGAAGGGGAGTTTATTAAGGACGAGTACGGTAATTGGAGTGCACCGTTACCGCTAAAAAAGGAACGACCCACTTTGTCAAACAATATGGATCAGGCAAGGCATCGCGCAGAAAATCTACGAAAGTCGTTACTGAAAAATCCTACTAAGCGCGAACAGTTTTGTGCGTTTATGCAAAACATTTTTGACAAGGAGCATGCAGAGGTAGCTCCCGAGTTACAAGACGGCGAGGAAGCATGGTATCTACCGATATTCGGGGTTTATCATCCCCAAAAACCCAACAAAATCCGAGTCGTGTTCGATTTGGCGGCAAAGTTTAATGGACATTCGCTTAACAACATTCTCATGACAGGTCCGGATCTCATAAACAATTTGGTTGGTGTGTTAATGAAATTCAGGAAGGAACGAATTGCGATTATGGCCGATGTTGAACAGATGTTTTTCAACTTCTATGTGCACAAGCGTGACAGAAACTTTCTACGTTTCTTATGGTTTCAAGATAATGATCCCACACAACCGCTAAGGGAATTTCGTATGTGCGTGCATGTGTTTGGCAACTCGTCTTCTCCGTGTATTGCCACACTTGGATTAAGGAAATCTGCTTGCGACCATATCGATTCTTCCGCGTGCGACGAGGTGTGTTGTTTCGTCAAAGAGAGCTTCTACGTTGACGATGGGTTGACCTCTGTATCTGACGAAGGTCACGCAGTGCAGTTGTTGAGAGACACTCAAGCTCGATTACGGCAAAACGGAAACATTCACTTGCACAAGTTCTCGTCGAACAGTGTTGATGTTTTAAAGCAGTTTCCAAAAGAGGATACCAGCGAAATTTGCGATATGGACTTCGATGATGTCGTTCATAGGAGTCTCGGACTACGTTGGAAAGTCGGTTGTGATACGTTCACGTTTAGTGTTTCTGATGAGGTGAAACCGTTCACCAAACGAGGCGTACTTTCTACAATACATAGTGTATTCGACCCCCTCGGCTTTGTGGCACCAGTTATTCTCGGAGGCAGACTATTAATGCGAAATGTGTTATCGTCAAAGGATCTTGACTGGGATGACCCTTTACCTCCGGACTTGAACTCTGATTGGAAAAAATGGAGGTCTTCGCTTAAAGATCTGGAACAGTTAGAAATTTCGAGATGTTACTCCAATTCGTCATTGGAAAAGGCAATTCGTCGTGAACTACACGTATTCTCAGACGCGTCAAGGATGCCATAGGCGCAGTAGCATACATGAAAATTTATGACGTACAGGAAAATGCTTCTGTTGGATACGTTCTTGGCAAATCGAAAGTAGCGCCTTCCCACGGACATACCATTCCAAGACTAGAACTATGCGCGGCTGTTCTTGCTACTGAACTCGGTTTATTTATATCCGAACACGTCGATGTTGTGTTTGACGCCACCTACTACTATACCGACAGTCAGGTAGTACTAGGGTATATATTTAACGACACGCGCCGTTTCTTCGTTTATGTTGCTAATCGGATTGACAAGATTCTGAAGTTATCTTCCAAACAGCAGTGGAGTTTCGTTTCTAGTGAATGTAACCCTGCCGATAGTGCGACTAGGCCAATGCGTGCGAAAGACGTTGGAAAGTCAGTGTGGTTGAACGGACCCGTTGACGTCATGAGTGATTTGCAAAGTTCGTATAGAGACCAAGTATTTCCGTTGATCGGTAACGACGCATCGTCATCACAACGGAACAGACAATCCAGACGTGTTGCGTTTTGCTAACGATTCAAAGAACCTCATACTGAAGGTTGTTCAACAAGAGTTTTATTCGATGGAAATCGACTGTTTGCAGAAAGGACTGCCGTTAAACAGGAACAATTCTTTGTTGAAATTGTCGCCGTTTCTAGACGACGAGGGGCTCCTGAGGATTAGTGGTAGGATTCAGAATAGTGACATTGACTTACCTGGAAAGGATCCGATCATTGTCCCAGCAAAACATCACGTGGCTACTCTAATCGTGAGACATTATCACGAGAAATCGGAACACCAAGGCCGACATATTACGGAGGGTAAAATACGTTCTTCTGGTTATTGGCTAGTGGGAGGAAAGCGATTAATTTCCTCTATCTTACATCACTGTGTCGTGTGCAGGAAACTCCGAGGAAAGTTTGTGGAACAAAAAATGTGTACTTTACCGCAGGATCGTTTGACACCATGTCCGCCTTTCACTTACATTGGATTGGATACGTTTGGACCATGGAATGTGCGCGCGAGAAAAACTAGGGGAGGACAAGCTAACGCAAAACGTTGGGCTATAATATTCTGTTGCATGGTATCGAGAGGGATACATATTGAGGTCGTAGAGGAGATGAGCACATCTTCCTTCATTAACGCACTGCGGAGATTCATCGCGATCAGAGGACCGGTAAAGCACATTAGGTCGGACAAAGGATCTAACTTCGTAGGAGCCGTTAAGGAACTTAACTTGAATGTTATTGATGTCGAGGACAAAGCCGTAAAAGACTTTCTTTCAGAGGAAAGCATCACATGGACTTTTAATCCTCCATATGCCTCCCATATGGGCGGATCTTGGGAACGGCTTATTGGTACCGTTAGAAGGATTCTGGACAACATGTTGCGTAATACTGACACTAAACACCTCATGCATGAAGTGCTTACGACTTTTCTAGCCGAAGCGTGTGCTATAAGTGAACCAGCGACCACTGGTACCCGTATCTGACGACCCTGAAAACCCAGTGGTATTGTCGCCAAGTACTCTCATTACGCAAAAGACTGGCGTTCCAAATGTAGATCTAACCTTGGTAGACTTCTCAGTGAAAGACATGTTTCGATCCCAATGGCGATGTGTTCAGGTATTGGCCCAGAAATTTTGGAACGCGTGGAGAAGAGACTATCTACAATCGCTGCAAACGCGACAAAAGTGGAATCACGAACGTTCAAACTTCAAACAAGGTGACATTGTTTTGCTGAAGGATCATGACTCTCATCGTAATGACTGGCCAATGGGAATTGTTGAATGTGTTTTCCCTAGTCACGATGGTCTTGTTCGTAAAGTCAGAGTTAAGACAATTCGTAATGGACGATCGGTTTCGTATATCCGTCCTATTACTCAGTTAGTACTATTGATGGCAGAGTGAATTATTGTGTTGAACATTGACAGCGACAAGTGAATTTTATTGCTTATAGACTTTAGTTTATTGTTATTCAGATAAGTTTTGATATTATATATTTTCATCGGGTTATAAATAATATGAATGTTTACAGGGTGTCACAGTCCCAACCATACTTTTGTATATTTTACATTTTTGTATATATCAAACAATGTCTGAACTATTTGTACATGTATTCGATGAAAGAAATCAGGTATTATCTGGTCTAAATATTGTACTTTTATTTTCTTAATTATTTGCTGTAAATTTTATAAATGCGGATTCTCCGGATCCGAGTTCGAATATTTGAAATTAGTCTCGCCGGAAGGAAAATATACATGTAAGCGAGAACAGCGGTGTAAATTTTGGCAGTCAGTTATTGCTTATATGGGGTTAGCCAACGCAAAATACAGTTTGCGGTAAGTTTGAAATCATTTCTTGTGCCTTTATATTGCAATTATATGCCCGAAATCTGTTGTGTTTGATATTTGAGGCGAATATTTATCGATAAATGTATATGCTTATAACGCTATATGAGTACAGTTCAATATATCTCTATTATAGCTATAAGATATCAACTGTTATATGAATTTAGTTTGTATTTAATAAATATAAGCGAAACTTGTCAATATGTCAATGAATTACATGGAATTCAGGCTAGAATTAGTGAATAGATTCATATCAATTACTGTATGTAGGCAGATGAATGTATATACACAAATAATAGTTGAAATAGAAGAAATACTGTGTATAAATATTTATGAATCATTATAGACTATATAGTCAGCATAGTCAGACGTAGTCTTGTGTTATTGCAGTTCTACCCATGTTGATGGCGGGAACGAATGTGACACAGTCAGAATACATACATATATAGAATACAGAGTCATATGTGGGCCAGGACAGCCGCCAGTTACAGTCCTGTGTGGACAGATGCTATGATGTCCTGTGTGGGCAGATGCTATGATGTCCTGTGTGGACAGATGCTATGATGTCCTGTGTGAGCAGATGCTATGATGTCCTATATGGTCGTGCAGATGTTCTAATATCCTGTGTGGACAGATGCTATGATGTCCTGTGTGGACAGATGCTATGATGTCCTGTGTGAGCAGATGCTATGATGTCCTATATGGTCGTGCAGATGTTCTAATATCCTGTGTGGTCAGATGCTATGATGTCCTGTGTGGACAGATGTTCTGATATCCTGTGTGGGCAGGTGCTATGCTGTGTGGACAGTTGTGCTCTAATTATGAATTCCGTTGGACATTTGTCATCAGACGTTCCTATGGGCAAAAGTTCGATGCTGTGAACATTGCTGGTTGTTAGTCGGTCCAGAGACGTTTCCAGACCTCTTTCCAGATTCGTTGAGGACAGACTATACTGTTTCATATGTAATTATTAAAGTGTGTGTGTTTTGAATGAGTGAGTGAGTTGTACATATTTACATTTGTGTGTACAATTTATAATGTGTATATAGTGTATTAAACTTGTATATATTGTATATTATGTGTTTGTGCCATTCTATGCGAGTCGCGCTCGTCCAGGTTACACTTTTTGGTGGCAGCGGTGGGATGAGGCGACTTTGCATGGTAAGTAGAATGGCTCATTTTGCACTATATTAGTAATTTGAATTTAACTAGGATTCGTTTAGAACACAACAGATTTCACCCTCTCACTGTTGATTTGGCGTTATAGCAACCTGTATTTGTGCTGGTTCATCCGAGGTGAGTTCAGTAGTAATATTTGTAGCATTACTTTGCTGTACGACACAAATTGTTGCTTATGTTGCTTTGTTGTACATGTTTCTTGTTGTTTCCATTGTACCCACTTGCATGATGTCGTCACTTCAAGAATTACTTAAAACTGGGAGTGCTCTTGGACTACAGGGGTCAGAGCTCCGTGATTTTATTCTTGATGAACAAAACAGAGAGAGAGAAGAGAGGAAGCTTGATAGAGAGGAAAAGCGAACCGAAGCTGAGAGACAGCACCAGCTAGTTCTATTGAAGGGGAAGAGGGATGAAATGGCGTTACAGTTGTCACTGGAGAAGGAGCGTGAGGAACGTGCTGTGAGAGAACATAGCAGGAAGATAGAGTTATTGGAATATCAGAAAACCCAAGGTGCTAATCCTACAGGAAGTGCTGACCAGAAGATGTCCCATGGTTTAGTGAAGGGTCCTAAACTGCCTCCTTACGAAGAAGGGAAGGACAACATTGACAGTTATTTGCAGCGGTTTGAGCGGTATGCTATAGCTCAACACTGGGATCGAGATAGTCAGTGGGCGACTAACCTCAGTGCTCTTCTCAAGGGTAATGCCTTAGACGTCTTCAGTCGACTACCCGTGGAAAAGTCACTCAACTACGATACTCTGAAAGAGGCTTTACTTAAGCGGTTTGAGATGACCGAGGAAGGGTTTCGACAACGTTTCCGGACTGGTAGGCCTGACACAGGTGAAACGCTTACTCAGTTTTCTGTAAGGTTGGACAACTACTTTGTCAGATGGTTGGAGTTGGCGAAAGCTGAGAAGACCTACGACGGGTTAAAGGACTTAATGCTTCGGGACCAATTTTTGCAGATTTGTGGAAGTGAGCTTAGGCTGTTTCTGAAGGAACGCATTCCAAAGTCCATGGCAGAAATGGCGAAGCTAGCAGATCAATTTGCTGACGCCAGAGGCAACCCTTCGAACCTTGTTAAGGCAAAACATACTGGACATAAGCAGTATCAGGGAAACCGTTCGCCAGGGGACTTCACAAAGTCAGTTGGTAAAAGGGATGAGCCTAAAGGTAAGGTCATTAGTGGTAGTAATTTAGGAGGAAAGACGTGTTATATCTGCAAGAAGACGGATCATCTTTCCTACAATTGTCCAGCCAGTACCAAGAAGAAGCAATCACGTGTCGGATTAGTGGCAGACTCTGATGCACAAGAGGCAGCACAAATAGAAGGGATCCGCAAGCATCGTTCATCCGGCAAGAAGACGGGTAACCCGCCTTCATGTGGAGCTCTTAGTTCAAGTGAAGATGACAACGATGAACGAGATCCAGATCAGCTCAGCATTTCATGTAGTGCGCCTGTGTTGGATTCTGGTATGCCTGTGGTGAGAGGTCTTATCGGCAAGCATGTTGTCACAGTGTTGCGTGACACAGGTTGTAGTGGAGTCGTTATCAGAAGGAGTCTTGTGGACGCAGAAGATTTCACTGGTGATACCAAGATGTGTACCTTGGCAGATGGTAGTAAGTTGAAAGTTGATACAGCGAATGTTGTCGTTGATACGCCATACTATCAAGGAACTGTTATGGCTTGGTGCATGGACACTCCAATTTATGACCTCATTTTGGGAAACATACATGGTATTAGATCTCCTGGAGATCCGAATCCGAAGTGGAACCTTGAGGAACAGGTTAGTGCAGTACAGACCAGGGCACAGAAGGCGGCGGAAGAGAAGCCATACAGACCACTAAAGGTTCCCAAGGTGTTTCAAGAAATAAATCCCATAGATTTCAAGGATGCCCAGATATCAGATGGAACGTTGGCTAAGATTCGTGAGATGGCGGTATCGGGAGAAGTTAAGGAGAGACGTGATGGTGGGAAACCACATTTCTTCACACGGAATGGTCTGGTATACAGGGAGTATAAGAGTCCATCTACGCAGCAGGGACGGATTTTCAAGCAACTCGTCGTTCCCTCGACGTACCGGCAGAAGGTTATGGGACTTGCTCATGATTCTATGATGGCAGGCCATTTGGGAGCCAAACGAACTAGTGACAGGATCATGGCAGAATTTTATTGGCCGGGAGCACAGTCTGACGTGACGAGGTATTGTCGCTCTTGTGACGTGTGCCAGAGGACTTTCCCGAAAGGCAGAGTGACGAAGGTGCCACTTGGAATGATGCCACTTATTGATGCGCCGTTTCAGCGAGTCGCCATCGATATAGTCGGACCATTGCAACCTGCTACTGATCGGGGAAATAGGTTCATACTCACGATTGTCGACTACGCCACACGATATCCAGAGGCTGTAGCTTTGAAGGGAATTGAGACGGAACGGGTGGCAGAAACGCTAGTGGACGTATACAGTCGGGTTGGAGTACCGAAGGAAGTACTAACAGACCAAGGGAGTCAGTTCACATCATCTGTCATGCGAGAAGTTAGCAGGCTACTGTCGATACGTCAGCTTACGACAACCCCTTATCATCCCATGTGTAATGGGCTGGTTGAGCGCTATAACGGAACTCTAAAACAGATGTTAAGAAGGATGTGCTCTGAGCGACCAAAGGATTGGGATAAATATTTGAATGCTTTATTGTTCTCGTACAGGGAGGTACCACAGGAAAGCTTGGGTTTTTCCCCGTTTGAGTTGCTATACGGACGGGTTGTACGTGGACCAATGATGATCTTACGTGAATTGTGCGAGAAGGAGGTTGCAGACCCCGAAGTAAAGAGTACTTACCAATATGTTCTTGATCTGCGAGAACGTCTTGAGGAGACCTGCAAGTTGGCACAAGAACAGCTCCGAAAGGCGAAAGTCACACAGGCAAAGTTTTACAACCGGAAAGCGAAGAACAGAGTTATGGAGCCAGGTGAGAAAGTGTTGGTGTTGCTACCTACGAAACGAAACAAGATCCAAATGCAGTGGCGTGGGCCTTATGGCATCGTTGAACGTAAAGGGCCTATGGATTATGTTGTGTCTGTCGACGGCAGGGAGAAAGTTTTACACGCAAATTTGTTGCGTCGATACGTTCAACGAGAAGGGACAGGATTGAGTGAAGCTGGCGTTCTTAACGCGGTTTGTTCATCAGTTATAGAGGGGGATTCTGGTGGTATTGAAGAGGAATTACCGAGTACTGATTGTTTCAACATACCAACACCTGTGAGGACAGAGACAGTAGAAGACGTGCAAGTATCAGAGCTACTGACATCCAAACAGAAGGTAGAGATGAAGACTTTGTTGGAAGAATTCTCAGATGTATTGTCAGATGTTCCTGGGAGAACTAATTTGGTAGTTCATGATATCCGAACAACTACCAACGAACCAGTTAGGGCAAAGAACTATCCGATTCCCTATAATTTGAAGGAAACCATCCGAGAAGAAGTAGAAAAGATGCTGAAGATGAGAGTCATTGAAAAGTCCGATGCACCATATGCAGCACCGGTGGTAATCGTCAGGAAAAAAGACGGCACAAACCGCTTTTGTATTGATTACAGGCAACTGAACCGGGTAACCATCTTCGACGCTGAACCGATGCCGAATGCGGACGATATTTTTTCTCGACTGTCAGGAAACAGATATTTCTCCCGCTTAGATCTCAGTAAAGGATACTGGCAGGTGCCAATGGAGGAGACATCGAAACAGAAAACAGCGTTCACAACACCCATCGGTTTGTTTCAGTTTTCTGTTATGCCATTTGGTTTGGTGAACGCACCGGCTACTTTTTGCCGCCTAATGAGGATTCTGCTAGAGAGCATGAAGAACATAGAAAGTTTCATTGATGACATCTTGATCTACACCAAGACTTGGGAGGAACATCTTGCAATACTACGTGGGTTGTTTGTACGTCTGAGGAAAGCCATGATAACAGCTAGACCTACGAAGTGTGCGTTAGGATTCGAAAGCCTGGAGTGTTTGGGACATATGATTGGACAACAGCTTTTGCAACCCAATCCAGATAAGGTCAAAGCTATTCTGGAAGCAAAGATACCAAAGACGAAGAAGCAAGTGCGATCCTTTATCGGCTTAGCGGGCTTCTACAGGAAATTCGTACCCAACTTTGCTACGATTGCAGCACCCTTGACGGACCTCACTAGGAAAGGTCAGCCGAATGCAGTTATCTGGAAGGAACCACATGATCTAGCTTTCAAAACGCTGAAGAAAGTGTTGTCGACTAGTCCTGTTCTGAAACTACCTGATTTGAATTCCGAGTTCATCCTGAGGACTGATGCTTCAGATAATGGCATCGGAGCTATCCTGTTGCAAGAGGTGGATGGGGTTGTACATCCAGTTGCGTACATGAGCAGGAAACTTAAAGGTGGTGAAGTGTCATATTCTGTTGTTGAAAAAGAGTGTCTTGCGGTTGTGTGGGGAATTTCCAAATTTCAAAAATATCTCTATGGTCGTCAGTTCGTCTTGGAAACGGACCACCAACCGTTGTTATATCTCAACAAATCCAAAGGGACGAATGCACGCTTAATGAGGTGGGCGTTGCAGCTTCAGCCACATCGATTTCGGATACAGCCTATCAAAGGAACAGACAATGTGGGAGCAGACTTTCTCAGTAGAGTTTAGACTTTGGACTATTATGGTTGTGATGTAGTTAGAGAAATAAAAGAAGGGTTATTTCTTGAAGCGGGGGCGTATGTCACAGTCCCAACCATACTTTTGTATATTTTACATTTTTGTATATATCAAACAATGTCTGAACTATTTGTACATGTATTCGATGAAAGAAATCAGGTATTATCTGGTCTAAATATTGTACTTTTATTTTCTTAATTATTTGCTGTAAATTTTATAAATGCGGATTCTCCGGATCCGAGTTCGAATATTTGAAATTAGTCTCGCCGGAAGGAAAATATACATGTAAGCGAGAACAGCGGTGTAAATTTTGGCAGTCAGTTATTGCTTATATGGGGTTAGCCAACGCAAAATACAGTTTGCGGTAAGTTTGAAATCATTTCTTGTGCCTTTATATTGCAATTATATGCCCGAAATCTGTTGTGTTTGATATTTGAGGCGAATATTTATCGATAAATGTATATGCTTATAACGCTATATGAGTACAGTTCAATATATCTCTATTATAGCTATAAGATATCAGCTGTTATATGAATTTAGTTTGTATTTAATAAATATAAGCGAAACTTGTCAATATGTCAATGAATTACATGGAATTCAGGCTAGAATTAGTGAATAGATTCATATCAATAACTGTATGTAGGCAGATGAATGTATATACACAAATAATAGTTGAAATAGAAGAAATACTGTGTATAAATATTTATGAATCATTATAGACTATATAGTCAGCATAGTCAGACGTAGTCTTGTGTTATTGCAGTTCTACCCATGTTGATGGCGGGAACGAATGTGACACAGTCAGAATACATACATATATAGAATACAGAGTCATATGTGGGCCAGGACAGCCGCCAGTTACAGTCCTGTGTGGACAGATGCTATGATGTCCTGTGTGGGCAGATGCTATGATGTCCTGTGTGGGCAGATGCTATGATGTCCTGTGTGGACAGATGCTATGATGTCCTGTGTGAGCAGATGCTATGATGTCCTATATGGTCGTGCAGATGTTCTAATATCCTGTGTGGACAGATGCTATGATGTCCTGTGTGGACAGATGCTATGATGTCCTGTGTGAGCAGATGCTATGATGTCCTATATGGTCGTGCAGATGTTCTAATATCCTGTGTGGTCAGATGCTATGATGTCCTGTGTGGACAGATGTTCTGATATCCTGTGTGGGCAGGTGCTATGCTGTGTGGACAGTTGTGCTCTAATTATGAATTCCGTTGGACATTTGTCATCAGACGTTCCTATGGGCAAAAGTTCGATGCTGTGAACATTGATGGTTGTTAGTCGGTCCAGAGACGTTTCCAGACCTCTTTCCAGATTCGTTGAGGACAGACTATACTGTTTCATATGTAATTATTAAAGTGTGTGTTTTGAATGAGTGAGTGAGTTGTACATATTTACATTTGTGTGTACAATTTATAATGTGTATATAGTGTATTAAACTTGTATATATTGTATATTATGTGTTTGTGCCATTCTATACGAGTCGCGCTCGTCCAGGTTACACAGGGTTTAAATGTAGTAGTGATTTAGCAATCAGGCGAGGAATGTAGTGAAACGCTAGTTTTATATTGTCCGTCTGCTCTGGTAGTCAGGTCAGGGTTCAGAGTTCATTCTTTGTACATCGTGGAAAAATGCATCATGGGATATGTTTACGTGAAAGTCCAAAGGAAACAGACTTACGGATTTAGCAAGGCTTAGGTGACCCATGAGGTAACTTTAATACGGTTTAAACGTTTGAAGTTTGATTAATTTTGTTGAAATATGTACTAAGGACAGGTTAATTTCTGTATTTTTCAGTTTTTTACCGCCGGTTGGGGCGCAAGCTAGGTGCAATCAAGAACCCCTACACTGTGTTTGTGATGATTTTGAACTATGGCTATAGGAACTGGGAACTTTGTATATGTAATAAAGGAACTCATTAAAGGCGTTTAGTTTGTATTTCTTTGGACTCACTCGACATCACAGTAAAAAACTCATGGCTGAAAACCCGGAAAAAAGAACCATCAAAATGACGGAAAAGGCACGTCAGGCATTTGAGGACACAGTCGGCAAGTATAAACATAGACTGTTAAATTTATACAGAAATTTAGATTGTCTCATAACTGATATTGAGTATGAAAATATGAACTTGGATGAATTAAAATCCTTGGCATCAGACATTACCCAATCATATGAATCCTATGAACAAGTTTCAACCAAATTCAGTAAATATTTGGAAGAAAGTAGAACGGAACAAGGCCAGGAAGAATTATTATCTCATATGACAGCTGTGGAAACATTAAAATCCCAGTGTGACACGGTTTTGGACCAAATTCAATCGATAACATTTCACAGGGGTTTGTAGTCGAGGAAAAACCTCGGCATAGTGTAAGTGAATATAAAAACGGCGTTTCGGATATTATGTCAATAAAGTCGAAAACAAGTAAAACCTCAGTGCGTTCTAGCATAACTAACATCTCCAGGGTCAGTTCAGTATATATGAAACAACGAGCGAAATTGGAAGCGGCCAAAGTGAGGCTAAAATTTGCTGAGAAAGAGGCCGAATTGCAAAAATCCCTTCAGCTGTTAAAATCACAAAGAGAACTGGACGAGGCAGCAGCCGAGCTCAAGGCTATGGATGACGTTATTGACACTGGTAGCCCTATCAGACATTGTTCACAAGCACCGTCGGAGGATGAGGAGTTACACAGGAAGTCTAGGACAGTTGAATTTGTGCAAAGTCAAGCCGAAAATTTGAACACCGGTTATGAAACATCCGACCCCTATTCACATAAAGTGCCGTTAAACGTTGAGGCTCGAGAATTCACCCCAGGTCAGTGTGTAACTGGACTGAATGATTTGACCAAATTTATGCTAAAGAAAGACTTGCTTATGGGTAGACTCACTCAGTTTACTGATAAACCCGAGGAGTATCGTGTCTGGAAAATGTCATTCCTAAATGTTGTAAAGGAACTTGATGTAAGCCCTCAAGAACAATTAGACTTATTATCGAAATGGTTGGGGCCAGAATCTCGAAAACAGGCTGTAAGTCTACGTGCTGCAAACATACACGACCCACCCCAAGCCTTGTGTAAAATCTGGACTAGGCTCAGTGAGAAGTACGGCGCGCCCGAGCAAATTGAGTTATCTTTGAGGGAAAGGCTAAACAAATTCCCGAAATTAACGAACCGAGATGGTCAGAAATTATTTGATCTTTCGAACATATTGGCGGAAATTCAGGCAGTAAAGGAAAACACGGCGTTCAGCTCGATAATGGCGTACTACGATTCGTCCAGCGGTATAAACCCAATTGTTTGCAAGTTACCCGTGTTCATACAGAACAAATGGAGTGACTATGCGTGCAGATATCAAACCGAGCACAATGTTACATATCCGAAATTCAGTGTTTTCGAGAGGTTCATACAGGAAATGAGCTCGCGAATGAACAACCCGAGTTTCAATTACACCGATGGTACTGCGGTACCTAGCGTCAGCAAAGAACAACGTCGTACTGCGTCTACTGGAAGTAGGAATGCATACGTCTTTTCAAAGAAAACGGAAGTTAATAATGTGCCTACAGCATTTTTGTGCCCACTTCATGACAGTGCGAGAGAAGTGAAGCATTTGTTATCAGGTTGCCACCTGTTTCTATCGAAATCCAAGGACGAAAAGAGGGAAATTCTCTTAAAACACGGCGTGTGCTTTAAGTGTTGTAAGGACAAACATTTGGCCAAGGACTGTACAGAAAAAGTAATCTGTATTGTGTGTAAAGGTTCATCGCATTGCACCATGTTTCATGATGACAAATATCAGCCCCGTCAGTCTCACGGCGAGGAAAGGACAAGTATCAGGGGAGACAATCGTAAGATAAATTCCAAGTGTACACAGTTGTGCGGTGAAACCGGTCCCTTCGTGGGGAAATCGTGTGCAAAAACGGTGTTAGTAAATATCTACAAGGACGGACAACTTAATAATGTGTTGCGTGCTTATGCCATTATAGATGAGCAGAGCAATCGGACATTGGCCAAAAGTGAGTTCTTCGATTATTTTGGAGATCATTCTACGGAAACCGGATACGTACTTTCATCATGTGCCGGTGAAATTCAGGTAACCGGGAGGCAAGGCAGCGGATACGTAATGGAATCATTGGACAAGGAATACTCATTAAAATTACCGTTGATTACAGAATGCAATCATATTCCGAATGTGAAACAGGAAATACCTACACCGGAAGTTGCACGACACTATAGTCACATGCAGGACATTGCTCATCTTATCCCAGAGTATGAAAACGATACGCCCATATTGCTTCTCGTTGGCAGAGATCTCATTTCGGCGCATCATGTGTTGGAACAGCGAACTGGACATGAACGTGAACCATATGCACAGAAATTAAAATTCGGTTGGGTAGTTGTAGGAGAATCGTGCCTAGGTCTCGTTCACAAACCTACGGTCATAACTGTGAGCAAAACGGTCGTTTTACCGAATGGCAGACCTACTCTCATGGATCCGTGTCCGAATTACTTCAAGGCTCAGTTTGAAAAATCCGATAAGTTGCCAATTGGAATGGACATATTTCAAAGAACAAAATTCGATGATATTCCTGGTTACTCGCAACAGGATAAGGAATTCATGCGTGTCATGGAAGGGGAGTTTATTAAGGACGAGTACGGTAATTGGAGTGCACCGTTACCGCTAAAAAAGGAACGACCCACTTTGTCAAACAATATGGATCAGGCAAGGCATCGCGCAGAAAATCTACGAAAGTCGTTACTGAAAAATCCTACTAAGCGCGAACAGTTTTGTGCGTTTATGCAAAACACTTTTGACAAGGAGCATGCAGAGGTAGCTCCCGAGTTACAAGACGGCGAGGAAGCATGGTATCTACCGATATTCGGGGTTTATCTTCCCCAAAAACCCAACAAAATCCGAGTCGTGTTCGATTTGGCGGCAAAGTTTAATGGACATTCGCTTAACAACATTCTCATGACAGGTCCGGATCTCATAAACAATTTGGTTGGTGTGTTAATGAAATTCAGGAAGGAACGACTTGCGATTATGGCCGATGTTGAACAGATGTTTTTCAACTTCTATGTGCACAAGCGTGACAGAAACTTTCTACGTTTCTTATGGTTTCAAGATAATGATCCCACACAACCGCTAAGGGAATTTCGTATGTGCGTGCATGTGTTTGGCAACTCGTCTTCTCCGTGTATTGCCACACTTGGATTAAGGAAATCTGCTTGCGACCATATCGATTCTTCCGCGTGCGACGAGGTGTGTTGTTTCGTCAAAGAGAGCTTCTACGTTGACGATGGGTTGACCTCTGTATCTGACGAAGGTCACGCAGTGCAGTTGTTGAGAGACACTCAAGCTCGATTACGGCAAAACGGAAACATTCACTTGCACAAGTTCTCGTCGAACAGTGTTGATGTTTTAAAGCAGTTTCCAAAAGAGGATACCAGCGAAATTTGCGATATGGACTTCGATGATGTCGTTCATAGGAGTCTCGGACTACGTTGGAAAGTCGGTTGTGATACGTTCACGTTTAGTGTTTCTGATGAGGTGAAACCGTTCACCAAACGAGGCGTACTTTCTACAATACATAGTGTATTCGACCCCCTCGGCTTTGTGGCACCAGTTATTCTCGGAGGCAGACTAGTAATGCGAAATGTGTTATCGTCAAATGATCTTGACTGGGATGACCCTTTACCTCCGGACTTGAACTCTGATTGGAAAAAATGGAGGTCTTCGCTTAAAGATCTGGAACAGTTAGAAAATTTCGAGATGTTACTCCAATTCGTCATTGGAAAAGGCAATTCGTCGTGAACTACACGTATTCTCAGACGCGTCAAGGATGCCATAGGCGCAGTAGCATACATGAAAATTTATGACGTACAGGAAAATGCTTCTGTTGGATACGTTCTTGGCAAATCGAAAGTAGCGCCTTCCCACGGACATACCATTCCAAGACTAGAACTATGCGCGGCTGTTCTTGCTACTGAACTCGGTTTATTTATATCCGAACACGTCGATGTTGTGTTTGACGCCACCTACTACTATACCGACAGTCAGGTAGTACTAGGGTATATATTTAACGACACGCGCCGTTTCTTCGTTTATGTTGCTAATCGGATTGACAAGATTCTGAAGTTATCTTCCAAACAGCAGTGGAGTTTCGTTTCTAGTGAATGTAACCCTGCCGATAGTGCGACTAGGCCAATGCGTGCGAAAGACGTTGGAAAGTCAGTGTGGTTGAACGGACCCGTTGACGTCATGAGTGATTTGCAAAGTTCGTATAGAGACCAAGTATTTCCGTTGATCGGTAACGACGCATCGTCATCACAACGGAACAGACAATCCAGACGTGTTGCGTTTTGCTAACGATTCAAAGAACCTCATACTGAAGGTTGTTCAACAAGAGTTTTATTCGATGGAAATCGACTGTTTGCAGAAAGGACTGCCGTTAAACAGGAACAATTCTTTGTTGAAATTGTCGCCGTTTCTAGACGACGAGGGGCTCCTGAGGATTAGTGGTAGGATTCAGAATAGTGACATTGACTTACCTGGAAAGGATCCGATCATTGTCCCAGCAAAACATCACGTGGCTACTCTAATCGTGAGACATTATCACGAGAAATCGGAACACCAAGGCCGACATATTACGGAGGGTAAAATACGTTCTTCTGGTTATTGGCTAGTGGGAGGAAAGCGATTAATTTCCTCTATCTTACATCACTGTGTCGTGTGCAGGAAACTCCGAGGAAAGTTTGTGGAACAAAAAATGTGTACTTTACCGCAGGATCGTTTGACACCATGTCCGCCTTTCACTTACATTGGATTGGATACGTTTGGACCATGGAATGTGCGCGCGAGAAAAACTAGGGGAGGACAAGCTAACGCAAAACGTTGGGCTATAATATTCTGTTGCATGGTATCGAGAGGGATACATATTGAGGTCGTAGAGGAGATGAGCACATCTTCCTTCATTAACGCACTGCGGAGATTCATCGCGATCAGAGGACCGGTAAAGCACATTAGGTCGGACAAAGGATCTAACTTCGTAGGAGCCGTTAAGGAACTTAACTTGAATGTTATTGATGTCGAGGACAAAGCCGTAAAAGACTTTCTTTCAGAGGAAAGCATCACATGGACTTTTAATCCTCCATATGCCTCCCATATGGGCGGATCTTGGGAACGGCTTATTGGTACCGTTAGAAGGATTCTGGACAACATGTTGCGTAATACTGACACTAAACACCTCACGCATGAAGTGCTTACGACTTTTCTAGCCGAAGCTTGTGCTATAAGTGAACCAGCGACCACTGGTACCCGTATCTGACGACCCTGAAAACCCAGTGGTATTGTCGCCAAGTACTCTCATTACGGTAAGTTTGAAATCATTTCTTGTGCCTTTATATTGCAATTATATGCCCGAAATCTGTTGTGTTTGATATTTGAGGCGAATATTTATCGATAAATGTATATGCTTATAACGCTATATGAGTACAGTTCAATATATCTCTATTATAGCTATAAGATATCAACTGTTATATGAATTTAGTTTGTATTTAATAAATATAAGCGAAACTTGTCAATATGTCAATGAATTACATGGAATTCAGGCTAGAGTTAGTGAATAGATTCATATCAATTACTGTATGTAGGCAGATGAATGTATATACACAAATAATAGTTGAAATAGAAGAAATACTGTGTATAAATATTTATGAATCATTATAGACTATATAGTCAGCATAGTCAGACGTAGTCTTGTGTTATTGCAGTTCTACCCATGTTGATGGCGGGAACGAATGTGACACAGTCAGAATACATACATATAATGAATACAGAGTCATATGTGGGCCAGGACAGCCGCCAGTTACAGTCCTGTGTGGACAGATGCTATGATGTCCTGTGTGGGCAGATGCTATGATGTCCTGTGTGGACAGATGCTATGATGTCCTGTGTGAGCAGATGCTATGATGTCCTATATGGTCGTGCAGATGTTCTAATATCCTGTGTGGACAGATGCTATGATGTCCTGTGTGGACAGATGCTATGATGTCCTGTGTGAGCAGATGCTATATGTCCTATATGGTCGTGCTGTTCTAATATCCTGTGTGGTCAGATGCTATGATGTCCTGTGTGGACAGATGTTCTGATATCCTGTGTGGGCAGGTGCTATGTGTGTGGACAGTTGTGCTCTAATTATGAATTCCGTTGGACATTTGTCATCAGACGTTCCTATGGGCAAAAGTTCGATGCTGTGAACATTGATGGTTGTTAGTCGGTCCAGAGACGTTTCCAGACCTCTTTCCAGATTCGTTGAGGACAGACTATACTGTTTCATATGTAATTATTAAAGTGTGTGTGTTTTGAATGAATGAGTGAGTTGTACATATTTACATTTGTGTGTACAATTTATAATGTGTATATAGTGTATTAAACTTGTATATATTGTATATTATGTGTTTGTGCCATTCTATGCGAGTCGCGCTCGTCCAGGTTACACTTTTTGATGGCAGCGGTGGGATGAGGCGACTTTGCATGGTAAGTAGAATGGCTCATTTTGCACTATATTAGTAATTTGAATTTAACTAGGATTCGTTTAGAGTACAACAGATTTCACCCTCTCACTGTTGATTTGGCGTTATAGCAACCTGTATTTGTGCTGGTTCATCCGAGGTGAGTTCAGTAGTAATATTTGTAGCATTACTTTGCTGTACGACACAAATTGTTGCTTATGTTGCTTTGTTGTACATGTTTCTTGTTGTTTCCATTGTACCCACTTGCATGATGTCGTCACTTCAAGAATTACTTAAAACTGGGAGTGCTCTTGGACTACAGGGGTCAGAGCTCCGTGATTTTATTCTTGATGAACAAAACAGAGAGAGAGAAGAGAGGAAGCTTGATAGAGAGGAAAAGCGAACCGAAGCTGGGAGACAGCACCAGCTAGTTCTATTGAAGGGGAAGAGGGATGAAATGGCGTTACAGTTGTCACTGGAGAAGGAGCGTGAGGAACGTGCTGTGAGAGAACATAGCAGGAAGATAGAGTTATTGGAATATCAGAAAACCCAAGGTGCTAATCCTACAGGAAGTGCTGACCAGAAGATGTCCCATGGTTTAGTGAAGGGTCCTAAACTGCCTCCTTACGAAGAAGGGAAGGACAACATTGACAGTTATTTGCAGCGGTTTGAGCGGTATGCTATAGCTCAACACTGGGATCGAGATAGTCAGTGGGCGACTAACCTCAGTGCTCTTCTCAAGGGTAATGCCTTAGACGTCTTCAGTCGACTACCCGTGGAAAAGTCACTCAACTACGATACTCTGAAAGAGGCTTTACTTAAGCGGTTTGAGATGACCGAGGAAGGGTTTCGACAACGTTTCCGGACTGGTAGGCCTGACACAGGTGAAACGCTTACTCAGTTTTCTGTAAGGTTGGACAACTACTTTGTCAGATGGTTGGAGTTGGCGAAAGCTTAGAAGACCTACGACGGGTTAAAGGACTTAATGCTTCGGGACCAATTTTTGCAGATTTGTGGAAGTGAGCTTAGGCTGTTTCTGAAGGAACGCATTCCAAAGTCCATGGCAGAAATGGCGAAGCTAGCAGATCAATTTGCTGACGCCAGAGGCAACCCTTCGAACCTTGTTAAGGCAAAACATACTGGACATAAGCAGTATCAGGGAAACCGTTCGCCAGGGGACTTCACAAAGTCAGTTGGTAAAAGGGATGAGCCTAAAGGTAAGGTCATTAGTGGTAGTAATTTAGGAGGAAAGACGTGTTATATCTGCAAGAAGACGGATCATCTTTCCTACAATTGTCCAGCCAGTACCAAGAAGAAGCAATCACGTGTCGGATTAGTGGCAGACTCTGATGCACAAGAGGCAGCACAAATAGAAGGGATCCGCAAGCATCGTTCATCCGGCAAGAAGACGGGTAACCCGCCTTCATGTGGAGCTCTTAGTTCAAGTGAAGATGACAACGATGAACGAGATCCAGATCAGCTCAGCATTTCATGTAGTGCGCCTGTGTTGGATTCTGGTATGCCTGTGGTGAGAGGTCTTATCGGCAAGCATGTTGTCACAGTGTTGCGTGACACAGGTTGTAGTGGAGTCGTTATCAGAAGGAGTCTTGTGGACGCAGAAGATTTCACTGGTGATACCAAGATGTGTACCTTGGCAGATGGTAGTAAGTTGAAAGTTGATACAGCGAATGTTGTCGTTGATACGCCATACTATCAAGGAACTGTTATGGCTTGGTGCATGGACACTCCAATTTATGACCTCATTTTGGGAAACATACATGGTATTAGATCTCCTGGAGATCCGAATCCGAAGTGGAACCTTGAGGAACAGGTTAGTGCAGTACAGACCAGGGCACAGAAGGCGGCGGAAGAGAAGCCATACAGACCACTAAAGGTTCCCAAGGTGTTTCAAGAAATAAATCCCATAGATTTCAAGGATGCCCAGATATCAGATGGAACGTTGGCTAAGATTCGTGAGATGGCGGTATCGGGAGAAGTTAAGGAGAGACGTGATGGTGGGAAACCACATTTCTTCACACGGAATGGTCTGGTATACAGGGAGTATAAGAGTCCATCTACGCAGCAGGGACGGATTTTCAAGCAACTCGTCGTTCCCTCGACGTACCGGCAGAAGGTTATGGGACTTGCTCATGATTCTATGATGGCAGGCCATTTGGGAGCCAAACGAACTAGTGACAGGATCATGGCAGAATTTTATTGGCCGGGAGCACAGTCTGACGTGACGAGGTATTGTCGCTCTTGTGACGTGTGCCAGAGGACTTTCCCGAAAGGCAGAGTGACGAAGGTGCCACTTGGAATGATGCCACTTATTGATGCGCCGTTTCAGCGAGTCGCCATCGATATAGTCGGACCATTGCAACCTGCTACTGATCGGGGAAATAGGTTCATACTCACGATTGTCGACTACGCCACACGATATCCAGAGGCTGTAGCTTTGAAGGGAATTGAGACGGAACGGGTGGCAGAAACGCTAGTGGACGTATACAGTCGGGTTGGAGTACCGAAGGAAGTACTAACAGACCAAGGGAGTCAGTTCACATCATCTGTCATGCGAGAAGTTAGCAGGCTACTGTCGATACGTCAGCTTACGACAACCCCTTATCATCCCATGTGTAATGGGCTGGTTGAGCGCTATAACGGAACTCTAAAACAGATGTTAAGAAGGATGTGCTCTGAGCGACCAAAGGATTGGGATAAATATTTGAATGCTTTATTGTTCTCGTACAGGGAGGTACCACAGGAAAGCTTGGGTTTTTCCCCGTTTGAGTTGCTATACGGACGGGTTGTACGTGGACCAATGATGATCTTACGTGAATTGTGCGAGAAGGAGGTTGCAGACCCCGAAGTAAAAGTACTTACCAATATGTTCTTGATCTGCGAGAACGTCTTGAGGAGACCTGCAAGTTGGCACAAGAACAGCTCCGAAAGGCGAAAGTCACACAGGCAAAGTTTTACAACCGGAAAGCGAAGAACAGAGTTATGGAGCCAGGTGAGAAAGTGTTGGTGTCGCTACCTACGAAACGAAACAAAATCCAAATGCAGTGGCGTGGGCCTTATGGCATCGTTGAACGTAAAGGGCCTATGGATTATGGTGTGTCTGTCGACGGCAGGCAGAAAGTTTTACACGCAAATTTGTTGCGTCGATACGTTCAACGAGAAGGGACAGGATTGAGTGAAGCTGGCGTTCTTAACGCGGTTTGTTCATCAGTTATAGAGGGGGATTCTGGTGGTATTGAAGAGGAATTACCGAGTACTGATTGTTTCAACATACCAACACCTGTGAGGACAGAGACAGTAGAAGACGTGCAAGTATCAGAGCTACTGACATCCAAACAGAAGGTAGAGATGAAGACTTTGTTGGAAGAATTCTCAGATGTATTGTCAGATGTTCCTGGGAGAACTAATTTGGTAGTTCATGATATCCGAACAACTACCAACGAACCAGTTAGGGCAAAGAACTATCCGATTCCCTATAATTTGAAGGAAACCATCCGAGAAGAAGTAGAAAAGATGCTGAAGATGAGAGTCATTGAAAAGTCCGATGCACCATATGCAGCACCGGTGGTAATCGTAGGAAAAAAGACGGCACAAACCGCTTTTGTATTGATTACAGGCAACTGAACCGGGTAACCATCTTCGACGCTGAACCGATGCCGAATGCGGACGATATTTTTTCTCGACTGTCAGGAAACAGATATTTCTCCCGCTTAGATCTCAGTAAAGGATACTGGCAGGTGCCAATGGAGGAGACATCGAAACAGAAAACAGCGTTCACAACACCCATCGGTTTGTTTCAGTTTTCTGTTATGCCATTTGGTTTGGTGAACGCACCGGCTACTTTTTGCCGCCTAATGAGGATTCTGCTAGAGAGCATGAAGAACATAGAAAGTTTCATTGATGACATCTTGATCTACACCAAGACTTGGGAGGAACATCTTGCAATACTACGTGGGTTGTTTGTACGTCTGAGGAAAGCCATGATAACAGCTAGACCTACGAAGTGTGCGTTAGGATTCGAAAGCCTGGAGTGTTTGGGACATATGATTGGACAACAGCTTTTGCAACCCAATCCAGATAAGGTCAAAGCTATTCTGGGAGCAAAGATACCAAAGACGAAGAAGCAAGTGCGATCCTTTATCGGCTTAGCGGGCTTCTACAGGAAATTCGTACCCAACTTTGCTACGATTGCAGCACCCTTGACGGACCTCACTAGGAAAGGTCAGCCGAATGCAGTTATCTGGAAGGAACCACATGATCTAGCTTTCAAAACGCTGAAGAAAGTGTTGTCGACTAGTCCTGTTCTGAAACTACCTGATTTGAATTCCGAGTTCATCCTGAGGACTGATGCTTCAGATAATGGCATCGGAGCTATCCTGTTGCAAGAGGTGGATGGGGTTGTACATCCAGTTGCGTACATGAGCAGGAAACTTAAAGGTGGTGAAGTGTCATATTCTGTTGTTGAAAAAGAGTGTCTTGCGGTTGTGTGGGGAATTTCCAAATTTCAAAAATATCTCTATGGTCGTCAGTTCGTCTTGGAAACGGACCACCAACCGTTGTTATATCTCAACAAATCCAAAGGGACGAATGCACGCTTAATGAGGTGGGCGTTGCAGCTTCAGCCACATCGATTTCGGATACAGCCTATCAAAGGAACAGACAATGTGGGAGCAGACTTTCTCAGTAGAGTTTAGACTTTGGACTATTATGGTTGTGATGTAGTTAGAGAAATAAAAGAAGGGTTATTTCTTGAAGCGGGGGCGTATGTCACAGTCCCAACCATACTTTTGTATATTTTACATTTTTGTATATATCAAACAATGTCTGAACTATTTGTACATGTATTCGATGAAAGAAATCAGGTATTATCTGGTCTAAATATTGTACTTTTATTTTCTTAATTATTTGCTGTAAATTTTATAAATGCGGATTCTCCGGATCCGAGTTCGAATATTTGAAATTAGTCTCGCCGGAAGGAAAATATACATGTAAGCGAGAACAGCGGTGTAAATTTTGGCAGTCAGTTATTGCTTATATGGGGTTAGCCAACGCAAAATACAGTTTGCGGTAAGTTTGAAATCATTTCTTGTGCCTTTATATTGCAATTATATGCCCGAAATCTGTTGTGTTTGATATTTGAGGCGAATATTTATCGATAAATGTATATGCTTATAACGCTATATGAGTACAGTTCAATATATCTCTATTATAGCTATAAGATATCAGCTGTTATATGAATTTAGTTTGTATTTAATAAATATAAGCGAAACTTGTCAATATGTCAATGAATTACATGGAATTCAGGCTAGAATTAGTGAATAGATTCATATCAATAACTGTATGTAGGCAGATGAATGTATATACACAAATAATAGTTGAAATAGAAGAAATACTGTGTATAAATATTTATGAATCATTATAGACTATATAGTCAGCATAGTCAGACGTAGTCTTGTGTTATTGCAGTTCTACCCATGTTGATGGCGGGAACGAATGTGACACAGTCAGAATACATACATATATAGAATACAGAGTCATATGTGGGCCAGGACAGCCGCCAGTTACAGTCCTGTGTGGACAGATGCTATGATGTCCTGTGTGGGCAGATGCTATGATGTCCTGTGTGGGCAGATGCTATGATGTCCTGTGTGGACAGATGCTATGATGTCCTGTGTGAGCAGATGCTATGATGTCCTATATGGTCGTGCAGATGTTCTAATATCCTGTGTGGACAGATGCTATGATGTCCTGTGTGGACAGATGCTATGATGTCCTGTGTGAGCAGATGCTATGATGTCCTATATGGTCGTGCAGATGTTCTAATATCCTGTGTGGTCAGATGCTATGATGTCCTGTGTGGACAGATGTTCTGATATCCTGTGTGGGCAGGTGCTATGCTGTGTGGACAGTTGTGCTCTAATTATGAATTCCGTTGGACATTTGTCATCAGACGTTCCTATGGGCAAAAGTTCGATGCTGTGAACATTGATGGTTGTTAGTCGGTCCAGAGACGTTTCCAGACCTCTTTCCAGATTCGTTGAGGACAGACTATACTGTTTCATATGTAATTATTAAAGTGTGTGTGTTTTGTAATGAGTGAGTGAGTTGTACATATTTACATTTGTGTGTACAATTTATAATGTGTATATAGTGTATTAAACTTGTATATATTGTATATTATGTGTTTGTGCCATTCTATACGAGTCGCGCTCGTCCAGGTTACACAGGGTTTAAATGTAGTAGTGATTTAGCAATCAGGCGAGGAATGTAGTGAAACGCTAGTTTTATATTGTCCGTCTGCTCTGGTAGTCAGGTCAGGGTTCAGAGTTCATTCTTTGTACATCGTGGAAAAATGCATCATGGGATATGTTTACGTGAAAGTCCAAAGGAAACAGACTTACGGATTTAGCAAGGCTTAGGTGACCCATGAGGTAACTTTAATACGGTTTAAACGTTTGAAGTTTGATTAATTTTGTTGAAATATGTACTAAGGACAGGTTAATTTCTGTATTTTTCAGTTTTTTACCGCCGGTTGGGGCGCAAGCTAGGTGCAACCAAGAACCCCTACACTGTGTTTGTGATGATTGTGAACTATGGCTATAGGAACTGGGAACTTTGTATATGTAATAAAGGAACTCATTAAAGGCGTTTAGTTTGTATTTCTTTGGACTCACTCGACATCACAGATGTTTTGTTAAAATCTTTAAAAATCGTTTTAAAAAACACGCTCCATTGCAGTCATGGATTAGGCTGTTCAAAATGTGCATCTTGTTGACCAACTTGCGCTCGCTTAAAGGCAGTGTCTATTTCATATTATTCAATCATTATGTTCTAATTCACCAGTTCAAACGAACATAAATCATTTATCAATTAAAACTCAACACTGCCATATAGAATACAGCTCACTGCAGCTTTCGCTTAAATGTCATTAAAGTACAAGAAATACGACAATCTTGGTCGCGACAGTTCCATGCTTCCAAATGAGTATATTATCGGACACCTGATCGAGCTGCCTTTGTCCATAAGCCTTAACTCCTTCACCGTTTGCCAGCCGGCGGGGGACTTGTCGGCGAGTCTTATCAACTTGTTAAGTTTCTACAGTTTTGTTTTCAGGTCGGCCACCAACCCAACACAACCTTCAAAATCTCGTTTCTCAAGTTTTCTCTGCAAATTAGCAACTAACACTTCAAGTTCATCGTTAACTGGAATTTGATTCTATTCCCCTGGGACTTAAACTTCACAGACTTGTCTGATTTAGGCCTGTTGGCCTCCGTCTCTCCTCCTAAATCCGCCTTGATTGAATCTAACTTGTTGTCAAAACAAGGAAAAGGCCTCAACTGCGTCAAAACCCCCTGCATTGTGGCCCGCTGTAGACGCCGAGGGGCCCCAGTACCACCACTATTAAGTTTAGGGTTCGATTCTTGCTCATAGTCCACAGAGAAAAAGACTAACTAGAGTAGTATAAACCACGAGCGCACTGTATGGCTGCAAAAGCTCGAATGACGCTACAAACTATACACCCTGTATTGGTCCGCCCTGCCACAGGGAATTCACGTGCTACCCGTCACACGTCGTGTACGTCCCATTCCCCGCCCAAACCTACACACCTATGTATTCGAACACACAAATAACACCAGTGATACCATAACAATGATAAATATAATTATTAGCTAGTCAATGTTTGGCAAATTCTAGTCAAATCCTGTAATGCATGAATTGTATGGTCTCAGAACATAATCAACAGATTTGAATGAATGTGTAAAGCTACAATCTATCTTTAAACAAAGGGAAGTTGTAGTATTCTCTAGTCAATATTATCGTGTAGTTTCACCTGTGTTGGATTTATCTATTATTTTTGTCTTGTGTAACCTCGTTTTTATTATTAGATAAAGTACCTTTAACAAGAATGTTTGTGTCTTCAATATCGATCCTGAAAGATTCCAATAAATAGGACGAAGAATAATGTAGACGAGGTCAATCAATGTAGATTTATCACTGTCGTGTTCATCGACTACAGCTTCTTATCTCAGTTACCTGTTCACGTGACCGTTCATGGACTACAGCTCGTTATCTCAGTTACTAGTCCACGTGACCGTTCATGGGCTACATTTCGTTATCTCAGTTACCTGTCCACGTGACCTTTCATGGACTACAGCTCGTTATCTCAGTTACCTGTCCACGTGACCGTTCATGGACTACAGCTCGTTATCTCAGTTACCTGTCCACGTGACCGATAATGGACTACAGCTCGTTATCTCAGTTACCTGTCCACGTGACCGTTCATGGACTACAGCTCGTAAACCCCATTACTTGTCCATGAATGTTTTTCGAAATCATTTGTCTGCATCCATAAATTGTATAAAATAGCCATGAATTAAATTCGAAAAATTCTAGTTTTTCATCGGCAAATAATTTTTCTCTTTTTCAATCGATGATTCAATGTTCAGTGGTCTTACGGCTTTGTTCGTTTAAATCATAACGGGCCACATGCTATTCTTACTGTCGATAAATTACGCGCTGATTTGTGTCATTCACTCCAGACATATACATACATGGCAACGTTAATATTCCGTCCACAGCTGTGATGTTCGACACACTTGAGTCATGTAACGTACGGTCGTCCC